CGCATATGCTGAAAATGTTCGCTTCCCCGAGGGAATGAAGCGATTTTTGCATTCTGAGGGTCCTGTTCAGGGCGTCCTGGCCGTTTGGGGGGCCTCTGGAGGCCATCTGGGTCCTTGTAGCGCTTTTGTGCTGTCTTGGGTCTCTCTTCGGCCTCTCTGATCACCGATCTGATCGCCGGGGGTCGGCCAGCAAGACCCGGCGAAGCGTCCTGGGAGGTCCGGGACGAGCCGGGGGACCTTTGGCAAGGGTGTCTGGGGGGGCCCGGAATCCCCGGATCCTGGGGTTTAGGTTTTGTTGGGGTTGGGGGCATTTTCCCCACCCCCTGGATTGCAAAAGTATAAGAAGAGGACTATATATGTGTGTATGTACCTATACGACCACCCTTCGGGTGATAAGGAGGCTCGGGGGGGGGGAGGAACCAACGTCTCACTCGATCGGTCTTACTATCGACCTCACTATCGGTTTCACTATCGGTCTCGCTCGATCGATATCACTCGATCGATCTCACAATCGATATCACTCGATCTATTTCACTCGATTGATCTCACAATCGATATGACGATCGATCTCACAATCGATCTCACTATCGATCGCACTATCGATCTCGCAGTTGATCTCACATTCGGTCTCATTATCGATCACACTATCGATATCACAATCGTTGCCACAATCAACGTCATCATCATCATCATCAACCTTATCGTCATCAACGTCATCAACATCATCATTCTCATCATCACCATCGGGACACCATCCGCAACATCATTCATCACCATCATCATCAACATCGGGACACCATCATCGCCATCATCGTCACCATCAACCACATCATCATCATCGGAACACCATCATCATCATCGGAACACCAACATCATTATCTCATCATCATCACCATGAACAACATCATCATCGGGACACCAGCATCATCGTCAGCAACAACAGCATCATAACCATCATCATCACCGGGACATATTCATCATATCATCAAACTCATCATCATCATCATCATCATCCTGACACCATTGTCATCACCACCATCATCAACAGTATCAGCATCAACCTCATCATCATCATCGGGACACCATTGTCATTATCATCTTCATCATCTCATCATCATCTCATCATGATCAACATCATCAGGATCATCAACATCATCATCATCATCATCATCATCATCGGGACACCATCATCATCATCATTATCAGCAACATCATCCTCATCCTCATCATCATCACCGTTATTATCGGGACACCGACGGGACACCGGCGGGATACCGGCGGGACACCGCGCGGCACCGGACGCCGGAAGGGAATCATTTGGTCTGGCTGCGCCTCAGCCACAGCGGGACACCGGAGGGACACCGCGCGGCACTGGTTGCCGGAAGGGAATCATTTGGTCCGGCCGCGCCTCAACAACAGGAGACTTTTCCTCTCGCACACCCACGCAGCTTCGCCTCGCCCGCACGCACGGCACGCACGAGCACGAAAACGAAATCGATTTCCCGGTAGAGGGCTCTCCGTTCCACTTCGATCTCACCCCCTCACCTCCAATGTGTGTACGTATGTATGTGTGTATGTATGTATGTATGCATGTACGTATATTCGTTTATACATGTGTGGATGTATGTATTTATGTATGTATGTATGTAAGTAAGTATGTATGTATGTATGCTTGTAGGTAGGTAGGTCGGTAGGTAGGTACGTGTGTATGCATGTATGCATGCATGTATGTAGGTATGTATGGATGGATAGATGGATGGATGGATGGATGGATGTGTATATATGTGCGTACATATGTGAATACGTATGTATGCATGTATGTATGTATGTCTGTCTGTCTGTCTGTCTGTCTGTCTGTCTGTCTGTCTGTATGTATGTATGTATGTATGTATGTATATACATACACATATATATATATATATATATATATATATATATATATATATATATATGTGTGTGTGCGTGTGTGTGTGTGTGTGTATGCGCCGCCGGCCGACGCGACGCGAACCTGCCGTACCGAAGCGCGTCCGAAGACGCTCCCACCGGCCCAGCCCGCACGTCAGCGGACATGAAATCGGGCCCCGCAGCTGCAGGGACCAGAAGCCGCATAGAGACGGAAGCTTGCGGTGGCCCGGGCAGGCCACCCCGACGCACCTCTCGGGGAGACGCAGGACTCGGGATCGGGAGGCTCGGGTTGGCCTGACGGGGCCATCCGTGAAGATGACGAGACCCACTCTGAAATCTGACGCGAACTCCCGCTGCCAACATCCCGCGAGCCCAATCTGGACCTTGACTGCGAACTCCCGCTGCTGACATCCCACGAGTACCAGACCGTCAACATCCAGGACGCGCTCGTCAAAAATCGGCGGTGGACAAACCTGCCTTTAGTAAAACGTGGCTTGGTGAAAACGACGTCGGGCCCACACCTGGCGGGCGCAAGCCTGGAAAATGACGGCCGCGGCGCCCTCTCGAGAACCGAAAACGGCCAATTCGCTAATTGACGTGTCAGGGTAGGAGGTCTGCCGGGTCCTGCAGTGGGAGGGGCCCTGGGACACAAATAAATACACACAAATGACCAGATCCCCCATATGTTCCTATATTTTCTGGGCTTTTGTCTTCCCCCCCACTTCCCATATTTTCGCATATTTTCCTGGGGATCGACCATCAATTGTGTCTGCGTGTTTTTTCCCCTCCTGAGCAGTGGCGTTGCCGCGTCCCTCGATGCTTCCGCTCCGCAGAGTTCAACCTTGACCGCTTGCGCCGGCATCGACCGCGCGCTAACGCCGCCGGAACCTACCGTACTCGAGTCCCAGACCCCCGACGTCATGATTTTTTCATGACGTCAACCCCCAGAGAGGTTTCGAACTCTTCCCCAGGTCTCGCTTTTCGTCCTGAGTGTCTTTTTGATGGTCCTGAGGCCCGGCAAGGGCCCCCTGGGGCCAGAATTTGCGAAAAAGCTCCCGTCGTGATTTTTGTCACTGCTCGAGAGGGTCTTGTCTTACGTTGCTTCGAGGAGGGAGGAGGGAGGAGGGAGGAGGGAGGAGGGAGGAGGGAGGAGGGAGGAGGGAGGAGGAGGAGGAGGAGGAGGAGGAGGAGGAGGAGGGAGGAGGGAGGGAGGAGGAGAAGGAGGAGAAGGAGGAGGAGGAGGGGGAGGGGGGAGGGAAGCCCGGGAGGGGGGAGGGAAGCCCGAGGGATGCCAGGGTCGGCGCCGGGCCCCGCTGTAGCGGCGCCTCCGGTGCCGCCCCGTGGGGGCCGCTGGCCGCCCCCCCCAAGACTCCGCGCGGCCCAGGAGACTCTCTGCTCACGTGTCTCGGGGGCGCGCAAGCATCAGCGATGCATGGACTTTCGGGAGCGGCCAAGAGGGGGGGGGTCCAAGAGGGGGGGTGCAAATCATGACCGGCGGCATGTGCACGGCCCAGCGGGGGGGCCAGGGACGTAATGAAATAAGAAGGGGCGCCATGAAATCTGGAGAAATATCATGGCCCCCGCCATGATATCCACCCCCCCCTAATTAGTCATCACCCCCCCCTTTTCCGCCCCCGAGATTTGGCGCGCGGTCGCCCAATCCATGGATCGGGGGAGGTGCCCTGCCCAACATGCGGCCGGTGCCGCCTGGTTCGGCGGTGAAGGCCGCGATGTCCACTTGAAGCGGGGCCCGTCGCTAACCCACGCCCCCTTAATCCATGTTTGCGACCGCCTGAGTGTTCACAGGTCGGAAGAAGGGGGTAGAATTAGGTCGGGCGTGTCTCCCTACAGGCGGATTTTGGATGACGAAAAAATGCTCAAACAACCCAAACTGATCAACAAATATTTAACACATCGTCCCCAGACTATTTGTTTTAACTATTTTTAGAATTCCCCCCTGTCGAGGGACACGCCCGACGTGAGGGTAGGAGCACGAGGTAGAAGGGCTTTGAAGACGACGGGACCTCCCCCACCCCTGCGAGCACGGAAGAGGATGGGATAGAACTCGATCCTCGAAACAGGAAGGAGACGGGATCTCCTTCACCCCTGCGAGCACGGAGGAAGATGTCACGGAACTCGATCCTCGAAATGGGAAGGCACCTGAAGTGGATAGGAACCTGGGGATCCAGAATCATCACAATGGGGAATGTCTCGTCAGTCGCTCCCGTCTCAGATAAAGGGGCCCTGGGACACGCATACATATATATATATATATATATATACATATATATATATATATATATACATGCATAACAGGGTTCCCCATATTATCCAATAGTTTTGTTTTTTTTGTCTTCCCCCCCACTTCCTATATTTGCCACTATGTTCTTGGACTCGGCGATTAATTGTGTCTGTGATTTTTTCCCTTCTGAAGATGCTGCACCCCGCGCAGGTCCCTGGGGGCCCCGACAGGGGGCAGAGGCGGCCGAAGACCTCCTCCCTCCTGGAAGCCCCGACGTCGCGAAGTGTTCACAACGTGGACGCACAGAGGTATGGTGAAGTCGGGCGTACCCCTCTACAGGGGGAATATTCAAAAATAGTCCAAAGCAATATGGGGACGATTTTGTTTACACTGTTTGAACCAGTTGGGCAATTGTTTGAGCATTCTTTATTGTTCGTCCAAAACCCGTCTGTAGGGGGACACGCCCGACCTAAAGGTATGGACTCCTTCCCTGGGGCCCGTCGTGCATCGCGAGTCGTTCCTGACGGTTCCAGAGGCCGAAAAGGATGCAAAACCTTCCGTCGTGATTCTTCCTCGTAGGCAAAAACGGACCCCGAATCCTCTGGGAGGCGACCTACTTCAGGAGGGCCAGGAGCACTGGGGATCGGGGGTCTTGCCTGCGGATGCCTCGAACCAGACCGCCCATGACTGTCTGCCCCACGTGTGACGGAAAGGGACCTCGGTGAGGCCACGCCCTCCTCGCATCCCTGCGGCCAGGGCCGACCTGTCTTCCGCGATGGAAGGGCGGGCCACTCCCCGAGAGGCTGCCCGCGACGCGCTCGGCGCGGGAGGCCGGGCCGGCCGAGCCCGCGGCAGGCGCACCCTGGACGCGGGGAGACCCGTTCCGTCGCCGCCCGGCGCGATGGCGAACATGCTCTGCGAGCGGGTGCTGCGGCCGCTGTCCGAATAGCCGCTGCCCTCGACCCGCAGGCCTGGCGGGGGTCGCAGAGGAGGCGGCGCCGGCCAGCCACAACTGGGGGCCCTCCTGCCTCCTGCTCCTCCTCCTCCTCCTCCTCCTCCTCCTCCTCCTCCTCCTCGCCCCCTCCCCCCTCCCTCCCCTCCTCCTCCCCTCCTCCTCCTCTCCTCTCCCTCCTCCTCTCCTCCCTCCTCCCCCCTCCTTCCCCCTCCCCCGTTTTCTCCTCTCCTCCTCCTCCTCCCCTCCTCCTCCGCCTCCTCTTCAACCTTTCCCCCCAATCCTCCTATCCCTCCACTCCCTATCCTCGAAATCCTCGAATCCTCGAATCCTCGATCGAATCCTCGAAATCCTCGAATCCTCGAATCCTCGAATCTCGAATCCTCCAATCCTCCCTCCTCCTCTCCCTCCTCCTCCTCCTCCTCCTCCTCCTCCTCCTCCTCATCCTCCTTATCCTCCTGTCGTCGTCGTCATCTTATGCTTGTTCGCACTCCTCTTCTTCATGGTCTGTGTTTCCATCTTCATCCCCCACCTCCCTCTTTTTGATTGTTAGGAAGGGATGATGGGGATACTCTTTTGTTCGGCGGCCCGCAAGGAAAAGCCCAGAGGGCGTGTCAATCAACGGCAAAGGGGCGCGATGCCAGATAATTTGTGAGGGCCAGGCCACAAAAGGAGGAAGCCGCCAAGAGGGCGCCAACCCACGCACGTGCAACATGCAGAGCAGGACGACAGCGGCAACATGCCAGAAAATTGGACCGACCGTCCGAACAACAGATGATGGGGAGACGCGACGCGTCAACAATTCGATCGCATTCCCCCCTTTCTTCTCATCTTCCTCCTCCGCCTCCTCCTCCTCCTCCTTCTCCTTCTCCTCCCACTGACCCCCTCTTCTCGACCCTTTTTCTCATGAGTAACTCACACCTGTCGCACCCCCAGACGTATTGGTAGGGCGGGCTGGGCGTTTAGCCGTTTAGCCTGAGACGTCCTCACCAATTCTGATCCTGAAGCTTGAGATTTGCGTCTGTTTCACGGCTGTTCTTCAAACTGTGGTTTCCGCCTTTGCCCCGCGCGCATTCGCCTGAAAAGTTTGCAACAGATTCACAGATGGAGGACGCTTCCTTCTCCAAAAATTATTCTCGCCTTAGCAGTGCGCGCATTCGTCTGAAAGTTTGCGACAGCTTCACGACTGCAGGGCGGCTCCATTTCCAAATGTGGCTCTCGCTTGAGCGCCGCGCATCTTCGTTTTGAAAGTTTGCAACCGATCCAAGGGTTATGGCGGTTGAAATCCAAAGAACGGTGTTCTGGCACGATTGAGGACTGTCAATACGCAACAATCATGTTGATTCGCGGCGCTGAAGTCACAGGAATCGTGTTCTCGCACCATATGGCACGATGCAAAAGTTTTAGAAAACAACAATACGCCGATTCGCGGCGGAGTCCCAAGAACTATGTTTCGGCACGATTGAGAATTCTCTGACGGCTGTCTTCCGACGGGGCACTTCCCGCCCTGGGCGTCGACCCTTGTAGAGGGAACTTGGGAAGGATGTGTTGCAGTATCCTTGATGCGCCTTCTGTTTCCACTGGTCCGCATCCTCCTCGTCGTCGTCCTCATCCTCTTCTTCCTCTTCCTCTTCCCAGGAGCCACGGGGCGCTCCGCGGAGGGTGCAACAACAAAAAAATGTATGTCCGCGCGCGCCGCTCGGGCCAGGGCTCGGACGGGAAAGGCGCAACACCTGGGAGGTCTCCGACGGCACGGTCGAGGGCTGCCAGAGGCCAGATGGAACAGGGCCAGGCCGCGGATCAAGCAAAACCGAGCGGGATCGGACTGAGCTGCGAGGGGCCCTGGGTAGACAAAGAGGCACCGATACCGCTGCTCCCTGGATCTCTCCCGGGGTGCGGCCTGACGAGCACGTCGACGCGAATGCAGGGGTGGCGACGCGGGCCTCCCAGGAGGCTCCCAAAAAGGAGATAGCGCGGGAAGGGCAGCGATATGGGAACCTTTGTTTTATTCTGCGGTCCGGCCTGCCCGCCGCCCAATTCCCCGCCCCTTCGGGGCCCGCTCACGCGCCGCCACGACCAACACAGAAGAAGAACAAGCAGCAGAAACATACACGGAGGTCGGGCATGTCACCCTACAGGCGGTTTTTGGACGGAAAGAAAGCATCAAACACATATTCAAAAGTGGCCAACAATAATCCAAACATCGTCCCCATACTATGTTTGGCTGTTTGTTTTTATATTCCGCCTGTAGAGGGACAGGCCCGACTTAAACTTAAATGTTTGGTGCTCCTCGCGGATTTCGCGCCAGGGGCGGCGCCTGGTGCGCCGCCGGGGGATCCCAGCGCGGATCCAAGAAATCCGGAAGCCTATGTTTATGGCGTTTTTTTTTTTCGGTCGACCGCAGGAGCGTTTTTTTGTTCTCTCCGAATTTTGCTAGAAAGGTCAGTTGACCTGTCGACCACCGGAGCGCTTCTCGCCGCGGCGAGCCCCCGAGGTTACCGTGGAGGGCGTTGGCGAACAGAGGGGGGGGGTCGTAAGCTTCGATGCCCTCCCTGGGGCCATCCTAATCGCCCAAATGCGGGCCCTGGTACGGCTAGGTCGAGCCTGTCCCCCTACAGGGGGATTTTGGACGGATTTCTCTTTTTTACCTAAGAAAGAAAGGGGAACAATATTCAAAAGTACGAAACAAATGCTCAAAAATAGCAAAACAATCGTCCCCATATCATTTGTTGATTATTTTTGCTTCTCCCCCTCTAGAGGGACAGGCCCGACTCAATGATACGGGGCGATCTCCGGGGCCGCGCAGGGGCGCTCTTGGGGCCGTCTGGGGGGGGGGCCTCCCCAGGACCCCCCGACGTCATGAGTTGCCTCGACCCCCAGGAGGGCTCGACCTCTTCCCCCGGGACTGCCTGTAGGAAGACATGTCCACAGCATTTTGCTTCTGCCAGTACTTCGCCACTGGGCTCCTGTACAAGGCGTTCCTTTGCAAGCACGTCGTTTTCGGCACCGCCTGATCCCGAGGCTTTGCCTCCTCCCGGCCTTGCCGTGAGGCCGCGCTCCTTCTGTCCCTCCCTCTTTGTTAATTCAAACTTCGCGCGGCCCGCTTAGCTTCGACCGGAAGAGGTGCGCTCTCGACCCGCGAATCAAAAAACTGTAGGAGGACATGCCCGACCTGAGTTTGGAAGCAACTGCCGGGAGCTCTTCGTCGGAAGGATTCAGGAGGACTGAGCCCCATGAGGAGGGCTGTTGCGCCGGAGTGGGCCTCGGATTGCGCGGGATTATAAGCCGGATTGAGCGGGACTTATAAGCGGGGTTAAGCCGGATTGAGCGGGATTCAGCGGGATTTCGGACCAGGGCAAAATCAGAATTTGATATCCCAGGAGTTGCATCCGAACCTGAGGATCAGTCAAGCGATGCTCAGCTCGGGGTCCCAGGCCCCCGACGTTTTGATTCTTTCATTGCGTCGGCCCCCCGAAGTCTCGACACATTCCCCGTGACCGGTGTTTCATCCTGAGTCGTTTTTTGACGGTCCCGAGGCCCGGCAAGGGCCCCCAGAGGCCGAAAACTGAAGAAAACCCTACCGAGTCCTTTTTTGACGGCCCCAAGGCCCGGCAAGGGCCCCCCGAGGCCGAAAAGGACTGACCCCCCCCCCGCTGTGAGTTTTTTTGTCGTTGCTCGAGGGGGTCTGGGCCTCTTGGGCCTCTCTTGGGCCATCTGAAGCTCTAAGCGGCGCCGGCGTCGCGATACGACCCTCGTGCCCGCGGCTAGGAGGAGGGGAGAGGGGAGGGGGGGGAGCTCCCACGACGACGACGACGACGACGACGACGACGACGACGACGACAAAGACGATGACGACGACGACGACGACCCAGACCCCCGACGTCATGATTTTTTCATTACGCCGACCCCCCAAGTCTCGACCTCTTCCCCAGGACCAGCTTGCCGTCCCCAGTCGTTTTTTGAGGGTCTCGAGGCCCGGCAAGGGCCCCCAGAGATCGAACACATGGCGAAAAACCCTGCGCCATGATTTTTGTCATTGCTCGATGGGGGTCTGGGGACGACGACGGCGGCGGCGGCGGCGGGCCGGGCAGGGCCTTCCAGGTGCGGGGTCAGCGAGGCGCGCGCGGGCCGCGAGGCGACGACGGCGGCGGCGGCGGCGGCGGGCCGGGCAGGGCCTTCCAGGTGCGCGGACAGCGAGGCGCGCGAGGCCCGCGAGGCGGCGGGAGCGGTGCCGTGGCGCTCCGCCGCGGTGGGCAGCAGGGCGGAGCCCAGGGTCCGCCGCGCCTCGCGAGCGGGCGAGCCAAGAGCTTTACGTCGGGTCTGCCCCTCTGCACGAGGAGAATCTAAACACATCTTAGACAAATAGTGCGGGGACTATGTTTCAACACCTTGGTATAGTTTAACATAGTTTTGGCAAATGGCTTATTTTGCGTCCCAAGAGGACACGCCTGTAGGAGGACACGCCAGGAGCTTCAAGTCGGGCGTGTCCCTCTGCAGTTCTGTTGCTCCCGTCGTACTTTCGGACCACAACCCAAAAATAATTTCGAGCACCCGAAAAGTGTCGAACGAGTGTCGGAAAAGTGTCGGACGAGTGCCTCCCAGGGCCCGACACGTGAAAACCCTTCGAGTTTCGGTACTTTCCTGGTGCTGGAAATTCTTTCTGGTGGTCAGGGCTAGAAATTGAGTTGGAACATCATAATTCTACAGGAGGAATATTCAAAACATTTTCTGAAAAATCGTACGGGAACGTTTTTTTTCTGTATTTGGACCCCCCCCTCGAGCAATGATAAAATCACGACGGGATGTTTCTCGTCAGTTTCGGCCTCTGGGGGCCCTTGCCGGGCCTCAGGACCGTCCAGAAACGACTCGGGAAGAAAAACCGGTCCTGGGGAATGAGTCGAAACCTCGGGGGGGTCGACGCTATGAAAGAATCATGACGTCGGGGGTCTGGGTATGTTGCTCCCGTCGTGCTTAAGGACCACATCCCAGAAACAACTTCGAGCACACAGAAAAGTATCGAAATAGTGTCGAAGAAACATCGCCTCCCAAGCCCGACACATGAAAACCCTCCAGTTTCGGTACTTTCTCGGTGCTCGGAATTCCTTCTGGTGGTCAACGCTAAAACAGGTTGGAACATCAGAACAAGAGCTGAGCATCGCTTGACCCATCCCCAGACAGCCCCCCTCGAGCAACGACAAAAGCACGACGGGAGGTTTTTCGCTATTTTTGGCCTCTGAGGGCCCTTGCCGGGCCTCGGGGCCGTCAAAAAACGACTCAGGATGAAAAACCGGTCCCCGGCAATGGGTCGAGACCTCGGGAGCCGAAAAAATCAGGACGTCGGGGGACTGGGAACCCCGAGCTGAGCATCGCGTGACCTACCTGACCTTGGGTCGGGCATGTCCTCCTCCAGGCGGACCTCTGGGAGAAGCATGGAACAGAGTCGAAAGAGGGGCAAGAACAGATAGTTGCAAAGAGCACGCCGCAGCGCCTCCGAACCACGTCTTAAAACACACATCTTCTTGGATGTGCCTCACTGCCACGGCCTTGGCCCCCCCCCCTCCCCGCCCAGGGGCCCGCCCGCAGGGGGGACCTGTGCCGAGCCCCCTCCGGGCTTCGCGGGGCCACTCCCTGGGGCGGGGGCCGACGGCGGGCGGGGCACGGCTGGGCGGAGAGGGGGACCGAGCAGGCGATGCTGAGGGTCGCCGACGCTACCGTCACCCAGTGTAGGATGAGGATGCAAGGGCCTTGGACGCCCATGTCGAAGCTTTTCGAGCGTGGCGCGGCGGGCGAAAGCGGCGAAGAAGTGGACCGAGGAGGCGAGGATGCAAGGGTACCCTTGGGAAGGTTGCCCATCCTTACTATCAGACCCCCTCGAGCAATGAAAAAATTGCGGCGGGAGGTTTTTCGCCATCTTCGGCCTCTGGGGGCCCTTGCAGGGCCTGGGGACCGTCAAAAAATGACTCAGGATGAAAAAAACTTGTCCCGGGGAGTGGACCGAAACCTCTGGGGGTCGACACCATGATGAAAAATCATGACGTCGGGTGTGTGGGACGATTCCCTCCGAGAAGCTTTCCAAGCCTTCTCCGAAGATGCAGACAGCCCCCAGGTCTGGTTTTTGAAGGCGCCTTTTTTGTGACTGGGGTGTCCGGTGTAATAGGGCGCTGGCTTTGGATTGGAGCTCAGGGGGTCCCGTTTATTGAGGCGCCCCATCGAAGAGGGGGGTCCAGAATAGCAGGTCGCATTTGGAGGGGGGTCTGGTTTTTTAAAGTGGAAGGATCGATCAATAAGGAATTCGGAGTAACTGGGTCTGGGGCGAAAAACTCGGCGGTGGACAAACCTCCCTTGAGTAAACCCCCCTTTTTAGTGAAAACGGCCTAGGACCGAAACCGACGGACCTGGACCCGCAAAAATGACGGCCGCGACGCCCTCTCGCGAACCGACAACGGCGAATTCAAGAATCGAAGTGTCAGGGCTGGAGGTCTATCAAACACCGAAGAACTGGATCCGGGGAAAGGAGCGGGACCTCTGGGGTCGCGCATCGAACCAATCAGACCGCCGGATGTCTAAGAACGTAGATGTCCGTATCCACGCCCCCGCGGTCTGGATTCTGGGGCGCGCTGCCGTGGATGCGCGGCCGCGTGGATGCGTTCGGAGCGGCGCGCTCGCGAACAAAAACGCCCGATGTCCAAGCGGTCGCGGCCCAGGAACCCAGCCAGAGAGGCCGCGGATACGGATAGTTCACGCGTTCCGCCCACGAGCGCCGGTGGCGCGGTCTGCACGCGGTGGACGAAGTGGGGGTCGAAGGCGAGGCCATCCACCTGGGGCGCCGTCTGATCACAGCACGCCGGTGCAGTCCCCCCCCCCCCCTTCACCCTCCTGCTCCGCGGGTGCTCCTTCAGCACTGTTCCTTAAAGATCCCACCAGCGCTGGAGGGCGTGAGTGACTTGTGGAGTTTCCTCTGCCAAGCCCCCTTATTCCCCTTCGGGGAGGGGCGTATCATTGTTCCCTATTGATACACACCCCTTCCCCAGGCAATCGGCAGCCAACCAGGAACCATGAGGACGCCATCCCTCTCAAACAACAATACAAAACATACTCTGCCTCCACATTTGGAGCATGCGCGGCCAACCCAATACGGCCCCCCCTCCACCATCCCTGACAAAAAAAAACAGAGTACACTTTGAGGCAAAGTCTTGAATCATGTTCGTGAGGCCCGCGAGTGCTTTGTATTCTTTTTGACAGGGACGGCGGGGGTGTTAGCATGTTGCCTGCTGCGCGCAGGGTTACCATCCCTGACAACAAAAATACAACATGCACCTCGCAGCTAGATTTCGATCATGCGCGGCCACCGATCACTGTCAAGTGGTTTTTGACAGGGACGGCGGGAGGGAGGGAGAAAAAATCCTTGACCTCCGATGTCTTGTTCTGTCAATGAGGGATCCCCGGAAGAGCTCCTGACCACTGCCACGGGACTGGCATCTCGTTCCGGATCTTTTCTTGGACAAGCCCGGGGCCCAGCGAGGACCCGCAGACGCCGCAAACGACGAAACCCTCCTTCTGGATGCCCACATGCCTGCTTCATCGTATCCTCCCCCCCTCCCGTCTCTCCCGAATGCTCGCGGGAGCATCCCCCGCCACCTTCTCGGACGGGACTCCTTCCCGGTACAGCAGCCTCCCCAGGGGCCCCACGGGCGCCGTGGCTGCGCCCTGCGGGCTCGGGCGGGGAGGGGGCGGCGGAGAGGACTGGGAGGAGGCGGAGAAGGAGCTGCGCGAGGGATTGGGAGGCAACTGCTGGGAGATCTTCGTCGGAAGGATTAGTGAGAATGAAGCCCCCAGTGGGGGGCTGCTATCAAGCCAGGTTTCGGTCCAGGGCAGAGTCGGAATTGGATATTCCAGGAGCTGCGTCCGATGGGGAGGATGGGGGGCACGATTTTTGCACATCATCCCCACATGGCATGCTGGTCTGGCGACAGATCGTGGAGAGGATTCATGTGCAGTAGTGGCACCCCCTGGGGGCACGATTTTCGCACCCTCCCCCACAAACAAGCTAGTCTTTAACAAGGTACGCGCGCGGGGGCGGTGACCAGAACTCGGCCATCAAAGGAGAAGAGGCAAGAAAGAAGGGAAAGGGGAGGGGGGAGGAGGGGAGGAGGAGGAGGAGGAGGAGGAGGAGGAGGAGGAGGAGGAGGAATTGAGGTGCGCCAGCTATTAGGATCGTGCCACAAGCCGACACCACCGGCTCTCTGGGCGGCGGTTCCTCTTCTAACCCCTTACCCCCCCCTTCGGAGAGGGACTCCTCGCTTCCCTCCCCCCGGGTCTGGACGGAGGTGAGGGCGAGGGGTTCGAGCGTCCGAGAGGGCCTTCAAGAGGGCCTTCCAGGAGTCCACGAGGGCCTTCAAGAGGGCTCAGGATGCCTCGCGATGGCCTCCGGGTGCCTCCAAGAGGCTCGCCACCGCGTCTCGACGGGCCAAGGCGGTCACGCACAGCCTCCCGAGACTGCCCCAAACAGGCCAACATCCTTCCACACCACCTAAGGACGACCAATAGTTGTTGCCGTCTCGGGCCTCTGCCTCCAATGGTCTTGTGAGGCTCCAGGGTGGTTCCAAGTTGGTCCAGGAGAGCCCCAAGAGGGGACCAATACCGCTCCAAGATGGCCCCAAGAGCGTCCATCAGCGCCCACAGAGCAATCCAATAAGAGGGGCGGCCATAATCGAGGACCCCCCCTTCATCATTCGACGCCCTCCTTGTTTAACCGATAGCGCCCGGTACGGCCCCTGGAGGGACCCCAAATGGCCTTCCAAATGGCCCAACCACTCCAAATGGCCTCCCACAGGCCCTCTTTGTCCCACTGCTTGCTCCAACACTTCCTCGATTCGTTGAAGTATTCGCCTGGGCATCGTTTCTGGATGGGCTGGTGGAGATACTTTTTTTCTGGTTCGCGGCTCCAAGGCGGATGACAGGGAGCAAACACAACGTCCGGGGCGCGTGACGATCTGGTGGAGATACGCGAAATATCAAGAACTCAAGAACTCCATCCCCCGGCAATCGCTGGCTCGCATCGGGCATCGAGACGTTCGAAAACAGGAAGAGACAGATCGAGTTTGCTCGAGATCTCCGGTACTTTCCGGCCCAGCGGGGGGCTCCACGAGCGAACCCGGGTCCTGCAACCTGGCAGCGTTGGCGGATTCGGTGTCTGGAGGGTTCTTGACGCAAGACCCTGGAAGCCCAGATGAGCACCCAGGCACACTGCGACTGGCCTCATGACGCGCGTCCCCACTTGGCCCGAGCAGGCGGGACTGAGCCGAACGGGCAAGTTTGCAAGAGTGGGTCGAGCAGGCAACTGGACATGTGCCAAACAGGCAAGGGTGGATGAGCAGCCTCGGTGAGGCGGCCGCATTCTAGCTGCCGTGCTTCAGTGTGGTCCAGATCCCCTCTGCAAGCTGCGCTTACACTCGGGCCTCCGTTCACAATGACCCCCCCACCCCGAACGTCTCCTGCAGCGCGTTATGGCAATGACGTCAAAAGGGAATCCAGCCGCGTAGCCGCATGGGCCTCCCTGGAGTCCCAGACATCGGGTGCGCCGAAAAGGTGGGCTGCGACGGAGCGGGTCAATTCCCGCATCATCCGAGGCATGTGCGCGGACGTGTTGGCGAAGGAGGACGTACATGAAAAGAAGAAGACGGATGCATACCAATTGGGAGTCCTCATGGCCCGGGCCATGGCATCCACGCACACACATACACACAAACACACAAACACACACACAAACACACACAAGCACACACACACACAAACACACACACACACACACAAACACACACACACACACACACACATGTTGGCGTCACTGCCACGCGCGCGGCGGTTCGGCGTAGGTCAAGTCATGCGGGCGCGCGCGGCCAGGCCAGCTCACGCTGCATGGCAAAGCTGGGTTTCACCCAGAAGGGAACACACAAAAATACACACAACACACGCGCACGCACCCACAAACAGACAGACACGGACCCCCGGTCCGCACTTCCCCACTTCGACGCTTCAAAGAACCCCGGGCTTAGCACATCATCCAGGCTCCCTCACTGGGCGTGAAAGCAAGGCGGTCCCGAGGGAAACGGGTCCTGGACCTGGCGCCTTCTCCTGGGACCAGCTCTTCATCCCGAGGCGTTTCTGGATGCTCTCGGGCCCCGGGGCGGGGGGGGGGGGGCGGGCTGGAGCCAGAAACAAAGGAAAGACCCAGAGGACACGCTCCCCCCAGTAGAAGAACTACCAGCTACATAAACATGCGCTATCGAAGGTCCGGGCAGACGTCTTGGATCGGCGTTGGACCCTCCTCCCTGGCGCGCGCGCGCCAGGGGCGGCGCCAGGGGTGTCCAACGCCGATCACAGAAATACGCGCGGCCCTCAGGAAGCGCATGCATACAGAAAACACATACGATCAAACAATCGTGCGATACAACCGAGAATGTGATCAAACTACATCGCATTGTGAAATCTGGGCCAACTTCAATTTCTGCTGTCAACGCTGGAGGGTCGAACGCGCTCGAGAAACTGGGCCAGCTTCCTGGCCAGTCGGCCCAGAAACGCTGGCCGAGCTGTTCGAGAGGAGGTGTCTTGAGCAGATACTCCACTGTAAGACATCTAGGACAACACTTAGGTCGGGCATGTCCTCCTACAGACGGATCTTGGGAGAAACAGTTTCAGTCGCCAAAAAACGCTCAAGAATCTAATCGAGACATCGTCCCCAGACTATGTTTTACCAGTTGCGAGTTTTCCTCCTGTAGAGGGGCATGCCCGACTTAAGGCCACACCCTTCTTCGACCCTGGGCTCCGCAGGATGCCCCGGGGCGGGCACATCTCCTCGCCGAGAGGGCTGCTGTGTGCCGCCGTGTTGTCCCCGCAAGCCACCCATGTGGGTGAAAGTTGGGATATATGCGTTGTATAGACTGGGTAAGAGTGACCTTTGGTGCGCAGCTTTTGGGGGCGCGAGGGAGCCAAGCCCAAGGGCGCGGGCCGCTTATATCGCATCGCGCTCGGCGATCGGGGGGAGCCCGATGAGCCCGCACCAAAGGTCACTCCGGAGAAAGGTCACTCTTACGTGTAGCCGAATAGACAGCAACAAATCCACCCCCATAATAACCACCCCGACAAGCGAGGCCGCTTGGTAAACGCACCCAAGGAAGGAGTCGAACAGGGCGGGGTTTTTAGGAAACGCCCAGGGCTGTTGAGCAAAGGCCACTTGTCCGGTCCAGGTGGTTTTACCTCCCCTGATTCTACCCCCGCATCGTTTACAACAGCTTACGAATAACACATTGGTCCGCTTGCAAGTCGAGTTGGCCAGGTCATAAGTTGACCTGCCCGCGTTGTAACTCGAGTCACCAAGTCGTTCTATAAACTGCACGCTGCAAACATCCACAGAAAGGACGAAAATCAAGAACCATCCTCCAGAATCCGCGGCACCAGCCATCCCTACCCCTCCCTCTGGGGGTGGCTCCTTGTCCCGGGTCCGTCTTCGATGGTCCTGGGGTTAGGTCGGGCGTGTCCCCCTACAGGCGGACTGTGGACGAAGCATGAAGAATAGTCCGAAAAGAATAGAACACGTGCCCAAAACATAGTCAGAAACTTGCCCCCACATTGTTCTTTCTTCTTCGATTGTGGAAGGTTCCTCCTGTAGAGGGACATGCCCGACTTCATCCTGGGGCCCGATCGCGGGCGAGGGCGCCTTCGACGAAACGCGACGGGGCCACAGAGAACACCCCCAGAGACGCAGCGTCGGAGATCTGCACTGCTCGGCGGGGGCAAACGACGAGACGACCTCCGGGTGCCCCCTCTCCCCGCCAGACCCCCGAGGGGGACTCTCAGGGGGGGGGGGGGGGGACGGCCTCGGGGAGAGGGGGGGAAACTGAAGGGGCCCTGGGACAGGGACACACAAGTAAATACGCATGAACAAAAGGATTCCCCATATAATCATATATTTTCTGGGTTTTGTCTTCCCCCCACTTCCCATATTTTCCCATATTTTCCTGGGAGTGGACGATTAATTGTGTCTGTGTGTTTTTCCCTCCTGAGAAGCATCGAGCATGGATCGGCGAAGTATATCGCCAATAGATCGGCAACAATATGCTCCCCATAGCGAGCCCGCACGCCCCAGCGGGCAACATAGGCTGGTGGGCCCCCATCCGCGATGCGTGCGCGATTGGGGGCCGATGCGTGCCAACCCTGAGCCTGTCCATCCTGTGCCGTTGCCCCTGGTGGTTTTCGAGCCTTGGCTCGGGTCTCTAGCAGCCGATCGGCACGATCCGGGCACCCCTGGAACGCTCTCGGCGAGGCGCAGCTGCTGGAAGGCACCCCGAGGCCCGACGACCAGCGAGGACCGACGAGGAGGCCCGAAGACCTCGAGCCTCGAACGCCAAAGCCTGGAGCACATCCTCCCTGGGCCTGTCCCACTCGAACGTTGGCCCTGGTCTCTCACCGTGCCCCTGCGCTCCCCTGGCTCTCTGGCCACAGCTCGGGTATGTCAACGTTCTCTTATTCGGCGATTCGACATTGGGCGGAAGCGGAGGGGGGTGGAGGGAAAGGGGGTTGGACATCTGCCTGATGCCACTGTTTGCAGCAGTGTGTCCTAGAGGGGGAGGCTCCACCTGCTCGAGCCAGGCGCCCCAAACACCCAAGATCTACTCCAGGGGGGGGGAGGGGAGGGGCGGTACGAGGGCCCGCGCCGATCGGCAAAACAAGCAACAGGAAAACGATCACGTGCCCGGCGGCTGTTCGGAAAGATTCTGGCCCCCCTGGAGTCAGGCCGGGCATGTCCCCTTGCAGGCGGATTTTGGACGAAAAATGAAAAATACCCCAAACACGTTTACAAATGTTCAGAACTACTAAAAAAATCTTCCCCACACTATTTTTACTATGTCTGCATACTCCTCCTGTAGAAGGACATGCCCGACTTAACCGTGGAGCGCATGTCGACAGGGCGCAGCAGGCGTAGGGGACCACATGCGAAACCTACCCCTGCCCCCCACGATTTCTGAAGGGGAGGGTGGGGTTCACTTCGCTTGGGAGCTCCCGAGCAAAAGTGAACCCCACCCTCCCCTTCAGAAATCGTGGGGGGCAGGGGTAGGGTTCGCATGTGGCCCCCTAAGACGGGGACCGCCTGGGGGGCACGAAGACATCCAGGCCGAATGCTCGCCGTCGCCTGGACGCCCCGCTCCCGTGCCTTCTCTCGGCCCCGCGCATATGTCTTGCCCGCGCGAGGACCCAAGGAACTCCTCGCGGGCCCTCGCCAAACCGAGGCACACGCCGCACGCCCGAGCGTTGCCACACTCCTCGGCTCCTCGGCTCCTCCTCGGTTCCTCCTCGGTTCCTCCTCCTCTTCCTCCTCTTCCTCCTCTTCCTCCTCCTCCTGCTCCTCCTCCTCCTCCTCCTCATCATCATCATCCATCCTCCTCCTCCCTGCTGCTCCCCCACCTCCACCGAGGAGGCTCACTCCTGGGCTCCTCGGCGACACGCAAAGATGGACCCTGGGTCAGAGTGACCCTCGGTGCGCGGCTTCCTGGGGGGGGCCGCAGGGGGGGCCAAACATGAGCGCGCGCGACGCTGCTACCGCATCGCGCTCGGCGAGCGGGGGAGCCCAACGAGCCCGCACCAGAGGCCACTCTGGCGAAGGGTCACTCTGGCGTGCAAGCGAGTTTCCTTGGAGCCTGTTTTTCTTCGACGCTGGCAGATTTACTTGCGTGGAAAGGGGGGGCCGCAAACGACTCGACGTGCGAAAACCACGCAAGTCGAAAGGCGCATGCACGCTCGTGCTCGATTGACGAGGGGCGAGGGGGGGGGGCGCGAACGCCATGCAAGTAAATTTCCCAGACCTCCGACGTCATGTTTTTTTTTTCATTCCGTCGACCCCCCGAATTCTGCACCTACTCCCCAGGACCGGCTTTTCGTCCCGAGGCGTTTTTTGACGGCCCCGAGGCCCGGCAAGGGCCCCCCCGGGCCGAAAATGGCGAAACAAAAACCGCAATGATTTTTCAATGCTCGAGGGGGTCTGGAGAGAAACATGCGGGACGGGAAAATGACCGCAGCCGCTGCTTCTTGTTTGCGCCGCCTTCCAGCCGGCCGAAAAACAAGCAGTGGTTGCGGTCATTTCCCTGGTGCCAAGCTCGACGAAAATGACCGCAACCACTGCTTCGTTTCTGCCGGCTGGAAGGCGGCAGCAAAAGAAAAGCAGTGGCTGTGGTCGTTTTCGCGCGCCCCGTACAACAAGCTCCTGCGGAAGTCCGCCCTTCGACCCCGCAGGGCGGGCCTCGAGCCGGACGCCCCGCGCCTCGCGCGGGCTGCCGTGCGCGCGCGGCGAGACCTCCAGCCGCAGCTCGCCGTCCCCCTCGCCGCGCCCGGGGCGGGGGGGAGGGGAGGGAGGGAGGGAGGGAGGGGGGGGGGGCCGGGAGGAGGGAGGTGGAGGGGGGGGGGGGGGGGAGGGAGGGGAGGGGGGGGGGTGGGAGGGGGCGAGCGGAACTTGGAAGAAAAGTGTTTAGGATAGGGGGCAAAAACTCCACCCCAAAGCCACCCCGACACGCAGAGCCGTGTCGTAAACGTGCCCGGAGAAGGACTCAAACAGGGCAGGGCTGTTTCGTAAACCAACTTAGAGGCTCGTGCTACTTATGCTACTTGCACCCAACCTATAGATAGGTGTAAGATACTTATCTGATGGGATAAGTATTGTAAGTGTCGCACGCATTCGCCATGTATCGTAAGTATTTGCCTTGCCGCGTCACTATACTTACGATGATTATAACTATGTTTCTGTTTTGACGACGGGGGCTACAGTTCTTAGCAAGTATATATAAGTTGCTTACCATTTATGAAAATCAACAAACATAAGTAACATATAAGTAACTTGTAAGTCACTTAGCTTGCGAGGGAGGGGGGGGATGGGGGGGAGAGCAGGATGAGGAGGAGGAGGGGGGGGGAGGAGCAGCAGGAGGAAAAGGAGGGGTAGGGGAGGGAGAAGGAGGAAACCGCCCGTCCTGACCGCATAGACTCCTCGTCCTCATCCTGCCACAAGCGATCGCTATCCCACCCAGCCTGCTGCGACCCCACCATCCCATCATCATCATCATCATCGTCATCCACATCATCGTCATCATGAGCATCCCCATTATCATCGTCATCATCATCATCATCATCGTCATCACATACTTCATCCTCGTCATCATCCTCCTCCCGCAAGCGATCGCCATCGTTACCTCCCCTCCCCTCCCTCCCCCAAGCGATCGCCATCGCTCCCTCCCCTCCCCTCCGCCCCCCAAGCGATCGCCATTGCTCCCTTCTCTAAGCGATCGCCATCGCTACCTCCCGCGATCACCATCGCGCGCTCGTGCCTCTTTAAACGAAGGCAGCGATCGACATCGCTGCCCGTCGGCTGGGCCTCAGCCCTCGCGGCGCGGCGCGTCGGCTGGCGCCTCAGAGCTAAGCGCTTTCTCGCCGTCGCTGCTGGAAGCGTTGGCCGCTGGCTTCCACTCCGTCCAGCTCCGGTTGTGGTCCTTCTCCACCTCCGCCCACTGCCACGCCTCCTTCACCCTGCCGCCTCTCTGCGACCACTGGAGCTCCACCAGCTCGCACTTCCAGCCGCCCTCGTAGCACACCGTCTCCTTGTCCTTGACCTCGCAGAATATGCCTGGCATGGCGCGAGGGGCAAGAAGGGCGTCGGGGCTGCGGGCAGGGCGCCCAGTCGGGCGCTTGAGCCGCAATTGCTACGGTTGGGCTTCCCACCCCTCCCATCCTCGCCCAAGCGATCGCCATCGCTCCGCGCGTTCCCCTCCTCACCCGAGCGATCGGCCATCGCTTTGCGCCCCTCCCATCCACGCCCAAGCGATCGCCATCGCTCCCCTGCCTGCTGCTACCCCACCCATCCCATCATCATCACCCTCTTCATCATCATCACCAAGAGCATCCTCATCATCCCCATCATCATCCTCATCTTCAACATCCTCATCATCATCATCATCCTTATCAGTATTGTCATCATGCCTCGAGCGATCGCCATCGCTAATTCCCCTACCCACCCTCCCCCAAGCGATCGCCATCGCCCCCTTCTCTAAGCGATCGCCATCGCCACCTCCCGCGATCGCCGCCGCTGCGATCGCCATCGCTGCCGCGCCTCTTCAAACGGAGGCAGCGCGCGCGTCGTTGCCCGCGCGCGCGCCAGCGCGTCGGCCGGGCCTCAGCCCTCGCGGCGCGGCGCGGCCTCAGAGCTGGCACCGTGGTCCAACTCCGACCACTCCTGGGCGTCGCCGTCGCCGCTGGAAGCGTTGGCCGCTGGCTTCCACTCCTTCTCCTCGTACTCCTTCTTCCACTTCTCCTGGCCTTTGCTGGGAGCGCTGGCTGCTGGCTCCGCCAACTGCCGCACCTCCTTCACGTTGCCGCCCTTCTTCGACCACGTGAGCTCCACCAGCTCGGCTTACCAGCCGCCCTCGTAGCACGCCGTGCCCCAGGTCTCGACATCGCAGTGCGAGCGAGGCATGGCGACGAGAGGCAAGCAGGGCGTCGGGGCAGGGCTGCTGGCAGGGCGTCCAGCAGGGCGCTTGAGCCGCAATTGCTACGGTTGGGCTTGTCACCCCTCCCATCCTCGCCCAAGCGATCGCCATCGCTCCACGCCTTCCCCTCCTCGCCCGAGCGATCGGCCATCGCTTTGCACCCCTCCCATCCAAGCCCGAGCGATCGCCGTCGCTCCGCTTCCTTCCACATCAAATCCCCCCCCCTTCTCCTCCTCCTCCTCCTCCTCCTCCTCCTCCTCCTCCTCCTTGCCCTCCGCCATGTCCCCCTCATTCCTCCTTCCTCGCCTTTTTTATACCTCTGCGCGGCGGGCCCTCGTCGCCGCCGGCGGGCCCGCGCGCTCGCTCAGCGCGCCCCCGCTCATACCTCGTCGGAGGTCGCCTTGGCGCAAGAGGAATTGCTGGCTCCGTCCGCTGCTGCTGCTGCTGCTGCTGCTGCTGCTGGTGCTGGTGCAGCTGGATCGCGCATGCCGCTGCTGCTGATGTCGCCCATGTCGTTCCCTTCTGGGGCGTGGAACACGCAAAGCTTTCGCGCGGCCTTCGCGCCCAGCATCCCGCGCAGGGAGGCTTTCTTGACGACCGCCTCGGGGGTGGCCCTTCGCCCGTGGCGGAGGAAAAGGGCTACCGCCAGCGATGGGGCCACTCGCCGCGCACTGGTAGCTGATGCGCAAGAGCGGGTCGCAGCGGCCGCCCACTCTGCAGCCGAACTTCTCGCACTGCAGGGCGCGCATCAGCAGCCCGTCGGGGTCCGCGAAGTTCACGCGAGACCACCTCATCTCTTTTAGGGCTTCGTTCGCGCCTACGAACGCGACGCCCGCCTCAACCCGGGAGTCCTGAATCAGGAACACGCCCGCGCTGAGCTCGCCGTTGCGCGCCGAGGCGATCGCCTCCTTGACGTTTTCGACGATCCTCTGTTTCTTCGGCACCGACATCCCGCGCGAGCGGCGCAGCGAGTAGCGAGCTCAGCTCAGCGCGGCCATTCACACCATCGCTCGCCCCCCCCCCCACCCCCCCCCCCCCCCAGCGATCGGCATCGCTCTCAATTTCATTCCTCCCCTGATTCCCCCCCCTCATCCTCCTCGCCCCCCCTTCTCCTTCGGAGCAATCGTTCGTCGTCCTCAACCTACCCCCCCCCCCCCCCCCTTCACTCTCCGCCCCCGACGGCGATCGACGTCGCCTCCTCGCCCCCCTCCACCTCCTGTCATCCTCTCCCCCCCCCCCCCACACCAACACCCCAATCACCCCCCCCGAGCGATCGCCATCGCTCGCACCATAATTACACCCCCGCCCCTCCAACTTATGCCAAGGCGACGGGCATTGCTTTACTCACCTCCTCACCCTTCTCCGCTGGACTGCCCCCCCCCTCCCCCCCCCCCCCACCCCCCCCCCCCCCCCCCCCCGCCCCTACCCCCTCACACCCACCACCCCCCCCCCCCCCCTCCCCCCCCTCCCCACTCTTCCCTCATCCTCCTCCCCCGTGCCCCCCCCTCTCTCTCCCCCCCCCCCCCCCCCCTTCCCCCCCCCCCCCCCCCTTTTCCCCCACCCCCCCCACCCCCCCCTACTTCCTGCTCTGCCCCATCCCCCCCGCCGACCCGAGCGATGCCATCGCTTCGCAACAGCGACCCCCATCGCTACCATCGCGGCGCGGCGCCCGCGCGCGTAGTCCTCTTCAGCGCCGCGGCCGCGCGCGAGGTGCCCGAGGTGCCCCCGCGGCGCGGCGCGGCGCTCGCGCGCGCGCGCAACGCGCCCGCGCGCGCGGGGGCGCCCCTTCTCAGCGCGCGTGCGCGACGACGTAGTCGCCGCCCCTCTTCGCGCGCCACGCCCAGACAACGCCGTCCAGGCCAGCATCGGGCATCTTGATGGCCAGGAACTCGTTTACCAAGCCCCCAGTGCTGAAGCCGCGCGCGCTCTGCGAGATCTCGAGCCCGCGGGCGACGACGTGCAACTCGCCGGAAATCTCAGCGCACGCGTCGATGAGAAACATCTCGCCGCCGCGCGAGCGAAGCACCTGGTCCACGGCGTAGACGCCCCCGCCCCAGCGCAAAAACTGGCGACGGAGACGTCGGCGCCCACGACAACGGAGCGCAACTCGTCTGAATCGGCGGTCGACCTCACCAGCCCGCTGCCTGTCGGCCCCATCTCGTTGAGCTGCCCCACCTGCTGCAATGCGCAGCCCGCGAGCACCGCGGCCTCGAAGTTGGAGGTGTTCTCCACTGGCTCGGCGATCGCCATTGGGCATCTCCTCCCCCTCCTCCTCCTCCTCCTCCTCCTCCCCCCCCTCCCCCCCCCCCACAGGATGATGATGCATCATCATCCAGTGCCCTTTTGGCTCGTCACCATCAACTGCCCTTTAGACTCGCCTTTGCCATCTTGTTGTGGCGCTCTGTCACGAAGCAGTCGAGCTCCTTGGCTCCTGCTCCGCGTTGTGAAGCACGTTGTGGTGTGTGGGCTTCGCGTAGCGGGTGCCGTGAGCCTTCTTGTGCAAGTCTAGACGTACTTCAGCCATTGCAATGAAGTCGCTGCGAGGGGGTGGGCACCCACGCTTGACTCGCAGGAAGGCGTCCGCCATCAGGCCGCGCGCCCGAAGGGGCGCCACTTCGCGCTCGAGGGGCGCCGCGTCCGCAGGGACGCCGTCGGCGAACGCCAGGACGACGTGAAGGATCGAGATCAGCTCGCTCGCGCCAGCTTTGAATGATTTCTTGCGAGCGGCAGCGTGTCCAGGTGTGAACATCTTGGTGACCGTGGCGCCGCGGTTGCGCGGGAAGTACCAGCGCCGCGCAAAATTGTGAACATCGGACCACTCGACGTTCGCCTCTCGCTTGCACGCTTTCAAAAATGCGTACGCCTCCCTGCCAATGGTGCCATTGCTCCAAAGGTTGCGCATGCTGTCGTATGTCATGGCAGAGGGCCGCAATGCTGCACGCATTTCCTTATCCTCCAGCAAGCCATTGGGATGGTAGTTGAAGCCGCTGGTCTTGTCGAGCGCTTGGAAGTCGCCCTTCGTCATGCGGCCCGCGGCATGCCTCGCCGCTGCTGCGGAGAGGTCGCCCCGCAGCTCGTGCACGTCGACGTATGACTGGCGGTCGAAGCGGCTGATTTCGCGGCAGCAGATGTCGACGAAATAGCCGCCGCCGCCAGCGACGGAAACATCCTTCAAGATGACGTTCTTGCACCGCAAGCAAGACCTCCAACCTTTGGCTCATCCCAAACGGAAAATACCTTTGTGGGCATCCATGTCTGCCAGAAGCTCGGAGCAGCGCGCGCGCACCAACGCCGACGCGCCGCTGGCCAACGCCACTGGCGCGCCGGCGCCCGCGAGCCTGGAGGGCCCCAAGAACATCTCCCTGAGGTGGGGCCGCGTGGCGCACGAGATGCCGCCGTCCACGCGACCGCTCACGTTCGCCCGCAGGCGCCACAGCTCTTCCCTGCATAGCATGCCAGAGCCGAACTCCAGGAAGGTAAAGAAGATCACCCAGAACTTCCGATCGCGCCTCAGAGCCAACGCGCCGCCCCGCGCCACTTCGCAAATGCGCGGGGCCAGCGAGAGCGGCGCGCCGCTGCCAGCGATAGCGGCGCGACCGAGAAGCTCGCTGAACACTGGGCTGGCGCTGCAAGCGCGCTGCCGGAGCTTATCGGCGCGGGCGACCTTCCGCTCGATGGGCGGCTCGCCATCTTCCACGGGCAACTCGACGGTCGTCCCGATCTCATCGAATACAGCATCAGCGGTGGATCCGATCGACTTTCGCGTCGCCTCTGCCGCGCTGTCGGGCTCCACGAACATCTTGGCGGCGCGAGCGAGGGCCCTGCCAGTCGCGCCATGGATAGCGACGTCATCGGAGAGCCGGCGCCGCTTGGCCTCGCGCGCGCCGACGGGGCCACCCCGCTTCCGTGCGGGGCCATCGGGCATCATGCCACGGCGCCCACGCGCGCGCGACCGAGCGCCTCGCGCGGCAGTCGCGCGCGCGAGGCCCGCGCGCGGGCCTGCGAGCCGAAGCGGCTTGCCTCGCCCGCGCGAGCGGCCGTCGCCCCCCCCCCACCCCCCCCGCGCCCCCCCCCTCAAAAAAAAAGAGAAAAAGAAAGAGAAAGGAACGGCGATCGCCATCGATGCCCCTCCTTCTCATCATCAGATA